TCTCTCTCTCTCTCTCTCTCTCTCTCTCTCTCTCTCTCTCTCTCTCTCTCTCTCTCTCTCTCTCTCTCTCTCTCTCTCTCTCTCTCTCTCTCTCTCTCTCTCTCTCTCTCTCTCTCTCTCTCTCTCTCTCTCTCTCTCTCTCTCTCTCTCTCTCTCTCTCTCTCTCTCTCTCTCTCTCTCTCTCTCTCTCTCTCTCTCTCTCTCTCTCTCTCTCTCTCTCTCTCTCTCTCTCTCTCTCTCTCTCTCTCTCTCTCTCTCTCTCTCTCTCTCTCTCTCTCTCTCTCTCTCTCTCTCTCTCTCTCTCTCTCTCTCTCTCTCTCTCTCTCTCTCTCTCTCTCTCTCTCTCTCTCTCTCTCTCTCTCTCTCTCTCTCTCTCTCTCTCTCTCTCTCTCTCTCTCTCTCTCTCTCTCTCTCTCTCTCTCTCTCTCTCTCTCTCTCTCTCTCTCTCTCTCTCTCTCTCTCTCTCTCTCTCTCTCTCTCTCTCTCTCTCTCTCTCTCTCTCTCTCTCTCTCTCTCTCTCTCTCTCTCTCTCTCTCTCTCTCTCTCTCTCTCTCTCTCTCTCTCTCTCTCTCTCTCTCTCTCTCTCTCTCTCTCTCTCTCTCTCTCTCTCTCTCTCTCTCTCTCTCTCTCTCTCTCTCTCTCTCTCTCTCTCTCTCTCTCTCTCTCTCTCTCTCTCTCTCTCTCTCTCTCTCTCTCTCTCTCTCTCTCTCTCTCTCTCTCTCTCTCTCTCTCTCTCTCTCTCTCTCTCTCTCTCTCTCTCTCTCTCTCTCTCTCTCTCTCTCTCTCTCTCTCTCTCTCTCTCTCTCTCTCTCTCTCTCTCTCTCTCTCTCTCTCTCTCTCTCTCTCTCTCTCTCTCTCTCTCTCTCTCTCTCTCTCTCTCTCTCTCTTCTCTCTCTCTCTCTCTCTCTCTCTCTCTCTCTCTCTCTCTCTCTCTCTCTCTCTCTCTCTCTCTCTCTCTCTCTCTCTCTCTCTCTCTCTCTCTCTCTCTCTCTCTCTCTCTCTCTCTCTCTCTCTCTCTCTCTCTCTCTCTCTCTCTCTCTCTCTCTCTCTCTCTCTCTCTCTCTCTCTCTCTCTCTCTCTCTCTCTCTCTCTCTCTCTCTCTCTCTCTCTCTCTCTCTCTCTCTCTCTCTCTCTCTCTCTCTCTCTCTCTCTCTCTCTCTCTCTCTCTCTCTCTCTCTCTCTCTCTCTCTCTCTCTCTCTCTCTCTCTCTCTCTCTCTCTCTCTCTCTCTCTCTCTCTCTCTCTCTCTCTCTCTCTCTCTCTCTCTCTCTCTCTCTCTCTCTCTCTCTCTCTCTCTCTCTCTCTCTCTCTCTCTCTCTCTCTCTCTCTCTCTCTCTCTCTCTCTCTCTCTCTCTCTCTCTCTCTCTCTCTCTCTCTCTCTCTCTCTCTCTCTCTCTCTCTCTCTCTCTCTCTCTCTCTCTCTCTCTCTCTCTCTCTCTCTCTCTCTCTCTCTCTCTCTCTCTCTCTCTCTCTCTCTCTCTCTCTCTCTCTCTCTCTCTCTCTCTCTCTCTCTCTCTCTCTCTCTCTCTCTCTCTCTCTCTCTCTCTCTCTCTCTCTCTCTCTCTCTCTCTCTCTCTCTCTCTCTCTCTCTCTCTCTCTCTCTCTCTCTCTCTCTCTCTCTCTCTCTCTCTCTCTCTCTCTCTCTCTCTCTCTCTCTCTCTCTCTCTCTCTCTCTCTCTCTCTCTCTCTCTCTCTCTCTCTCTCTCTCTCTCTCTCTCTCTCTCTCTCTCTCTCTCTCTCTCTCTCTCTCTCTCTCTCTCTCTCTCTCTCTCTCTCTCTCTCTCTCTCTCTCTCTCTCTCTCTCTCTCTCTCTCTCTCTCTCTCTCTCTCTCTCTCTCTCTCTCTCTCTCTCTCTCTCTCTCTCTCTCTCTCTCTCTCTCTCTCTCTCTCTCTCTCTCTCTCTCTCTCTCTCTCTCTCTCTCTCTCTCTCTCTCTCTCTCTCTCTCTCTCTCTCTCTCTCTCTCTCTCTCTCTCTCTCTCTCTCTCTCTCTCTCTCTCTCTCTCTCTCTCTCTCTCTCTCTCTCTCTCTCTCTCTCTCTCTCTCTCTCTCTCTCTCTCTCTCTCTCTCTCTCTCTCTCTCTCTCTCTCTCTCTCTCTCTCTCTCTCTCTCTCTCTCTCTCTCTCTCTCTCTCTCTCTCTCTCTCTCTCTCTCTCTCTCTCTCTCTCTCTCTTCTCTCTCTCTCTCTCTCTCTCTCTCTTCTCTCTCTCTCTCTCTCTCTCTCTCTCTCTCTCTCTCTTCTCTCTCTCTCTCTCTCTCTCTCTCTCTCTCTCTCTCTCTCTCTCTCTCTCTCTCTCTCTCTCTCTCTCTCTCTCTCTCTCTCTCTCTCTCTCTCTCTCTCTCTCTCTCTCTCTCTCTCTCTCTCTCTCTCTCTCTCTCTCTCTCTCTCTCTCTCTCTCTCTCTCTCTCTCTCTCTCTCTCTCTCTCTCTCTCTCTCTCTCTCTCTCTCTCTCTCTCTCTCTCTCTCTCTCTCTCTCTCTCTCTCTCTCTCTCTCTCTCTCTC